TAGTTCTATAAATTCATATCTTGGCGTCTTCTTTTTTACTGGAAGTTGTAAAAATAAAAATTGACCTTTTGTAGTACGCATTAATTGGACAACTATAGGATTACGATTACGGTGGTGGCTGACATCGCCAGACGGCTACCTACCAAATCTTGGGTGTAATCTCCGAAAAAACATGCTAAATTGTGTTTACGAACTTGATCGCGCGGGTTTCATGCAACGACAAGAGTGACGTATAAGCGATCCAATTTGTCGTCCTATAAAAGCCGTGAGGAGTTGTGCTTCTCACAGTTCCTCTAAAATGGACATTGAACAGCGTATCAAAGCCTATCGTTTCGTCTCCTATGCTGCAGTCACATTCTCGGTGGTCGCTGTGCTGTCGGTTTGCCTCACTCTACCAATGGTTTACAACTATGTGAACCACGTGAAACGTCAGGTTAACACTGATATCACGTTCTGCCAGAGAACAGCCAAAGATATCTGGTCCGAAGTTAATCACCTAGCTGAGCAGCCGTCTTCGAACAGAACTGCCCGTCAGGCATACGCCACTGATGATGCTGGAGTGAACGGTGGTCAAACTGGTGGCGGTGGATGCGCTGGATGTTGTCTTCCAGGTCCTCCTGGTGCAGGTGGTACTCCGGGCAAACCTGGTCGTAATGGAAAACCTGGAGCTCCTGGATTACCAGGAAATCCCGGCCGTCCACCACAAGCACCATGCAACCCGATCACAGCTCCACCTTGCAAACCTTGCCCAGCTGGACCTCCCGGACCACCAGGACCCCTGGGACCTCCTGGAGATGCTGGACCTGATGGACAACCCGGACAGCCTGGTAACGGTGGAAACCCTGGTTCACCTGGTCCTAAAGGACCACCCGGACCTAACGGAAATCCTGGTGCACCAGGAGCTCCTGGTCAACCAGGGCAAGATGCTGTCTCGGAGCCAATCGTTCCTGGAGAGCCTGGACCTGCTGGAGAACCTGGACCGGCAGGACCACCCGGACCTGATGGACAGCCAGGAGCTGATGGACAGCCCGGTATGTTTTCTTTTTCCAGTGTCATGTCCATAGCAACCTTTGTTCTCAATTTGGTGAGTAATCAATATCTTTGTAGGACAACCTGGACCTAGTGGACCTCCTGGACCAGATGGACAGCCCGGTGCTGATGGAAATCCTGGAACTCCTGGTGAGCATGGACCGCCTGGAGATAGCGGTGAAAGAGGAATCTGCCCGAAATACTGCGCCATCGACGGAGGAGTTTTCTTCGAGGATGGCACGCGTCGTTAAATTTCTTTCATTTGTCTGTACATTGTGCACTTTTCGGTTGCAGCTTTATAAATGCTTTCATTCGCATTCATACGGTCGAAAAGCAATGAAAAGTCTATAAGGAAGAAGAGCACTGTGATGAAAACTTCAAGCATTTAAAATTTTATTTTCCAAAATATCAGAAAAAATACAATAAGAACATCTCTGTGCAAGCTTCTTCATTCACTTGTTGATAACTTGCTAAAGCATTCAACCCCTATGCAACCGTGTTTTCGAGGATAAGCCTATTACACATAAATTTCTATGAACTGGCACCGGAGAGCGAGAAAGCGTTTGAGTGTTTGGGGAATATGAACAGAAAAAATGAGGATGATAAAAATCAAATAAATACAATTTGGGTGAAGATTGCCTAGCAAGCAGAAATCTCATCATGGAAAGAAATGGCGCTAAGTCGAAAGTGAAATTGATCTCATGTTGTGCACTGATCATCGTTTCCGACAGAAGCTGATTGAGCAATACTAGCATTCAAAAGGCTTTTTCCTGAGTATTTTCAGACGATTTGTTTACCTGAAATAGCCGTGTGAAGTGAAAGTGCATTACTATTACGGTACTACAATTCCTGAATCAAGGTGAGTCGTAAATGCAGACCTAGCAACACCGACGTGGCATCAGTTATTCAATGGCATTAAGAAGAGTAATTAATACTTCATTTTGGTGTTGTCCTGAATAGGCCTCGAAAAAGTCGACACCGCTTATTCGCTGTTGATTGATTTGAGATGTCGTATTTGTTGCTATTTCCGCATTTACGACTAATCCGGACATGGGGAACGAGATGTAGGTACGTAGGTCTAGGTGCGTGCGCTTACCCTTATAATGGTGTCCTTGGCGGAGTGCTTGTCCTGCTTCCTTGTTTTTCTTCTGAGTGTCGTGAGTAGCATCTCCTTGAAAGATGGATTGAGCCACGCATAAAGTATCGGATTCGCTACGTTCGTCGTCATTGAGATGCTGCAATAGTAAGATAACATGTGTGTGTGACTTCATTAAATAACCTTTTTAGCGACCAGAATAGATCAAATTCGGAATGTTCAAAGGACCGCTAAAACGTACAGGTGTGCGATAATGGAAACGATGTAGGTGTTATCGCTTTCGCCATTGTGAAAGAATGCCTCATCGTATTCAATAATCAAAGTATGGACCTTGCTGTCTGCCATGTGAACCACAACAGCGAGCAACAGGCACCTGAAAATTTCAGTCGTTCAGAGTCGGGGATTCTGGTCGAGGACAGCTTAAATTGCGGGGCGTCTCCAATCTGGACTCATACGCACTCGTATTATCATCGTCAGATGGATAGAAGTAATAATCATATAAGGGAACGTTATGTGCGGACCATAAAGGTAGGTAGCAAATGCGGTCATAGGCTCACGCGCGCCACGCAGCCACAGGGATGACATCCTAAAGATCGCACAAAAATCGCAGGTCGCAAAGCCTCCTTCCCTCTGGATAGGTTTCGACAATTGACACCATCCTTATAGGGAGGATAAAACAGCATTACATTGACTGGCACGCGCTATTCATTGTGAAGGTCGAATCGCAGCGATCACTACGACAGCAGGAAGGTGCGGTTTAATGACATCACTGAGCGTCGCTGGTGGAATTTCGTTGAGGGCGGTTCAAACCACGAATCCCAGCTCGCTGAGGGGTCTAGCCACCAGTGACATTCATTAACATCATATACTAGCAGTCCTCCAACTATCTGATGCCGCCGTTAAGCCGCCAAAGCGATTACGATAAATCTAAGAAAGGCCCAAGTATGCGTGTGGTGTGCTCAGTGGTACTCGTAGCCTGTGAAAAAAAGCACGTAAAATGCCGTCCAATGAAACGTAAAACGGGAATCTGTTGTTTAAATGTCTCGTTATTCCCACTCATGAACAGGTAAAAGTTTCACTCATGAACAGTCAGATAAGAAAGTGGACATTGGACGAGTTCACCGTAACACTCTCGATGGCACCATGCCAAACGACGCTTTAATCAAGATGCTCCATTTGCGCAGCTGCTTAGTCACGTGACAGCTCGTCCAAATAACAACTAAACTTGTGAGCGGATCGCTTTTGGGGCGGAGCGCTTTCGAAGTCCTGCTCAGCAACCAGCGCACCTTTCGTTGTGAAAGCGCCACATCTCGCTTCCCCTGGCAGCCAAGTAACTGATTCGTGTGGTGCACATGCTTCCCCGATGCGCTCCCTCTTTATCGTAATCGCTTTCTTTAATTGCCACTGCCATTTCGTAGGGAGGTAGAATGCATGTCGCATCCGAAAAGGGATTCAACTGCGCCCAATGGTTTTTTTGAAGGATGTTCAGGGTACAATATGTGCAGCTCCGCTTCGAACCCATCCATCTCGAACACCTCTGTATCTTCCATGCTAGTTATAGGTGAGAATAGCGCTGGGGGAGGGGGACCATTGTGCTGTGAAACGCCAAAAGAAGAATAAGAGCGCCCATGATACGTAATGAACTCATTTGAGGTGTACTTCCGTAATTACCGGTGAACTGAAGTACTTTCGCATTATGGCCTTTTGTGGTCCAAGAAAGCGAAACTAACCAGGGTAGTGGACAGGCTTGCCTAAGGTGAGGAAGCTCCAGGGTGGATGACCAGGTGCAAAGAATTGGATAGGATTGAGCAGGCTGTATGGAAAATGTAGGACGCTGATCGATCCTTATCAAAAATATATTTCAAATGAGTCGTTTACGCATGACCCTATCCGTAGTATTAGAGAGCTCAACGAAGTCCTCTCTCTACTACACTGGTGGGCAAAACTTATGGAGGGGATAGATGAAGTAACATCACTTATTGATAGCTTTGCGACCACCCAATGCCATTTTCACCCTAATCTTCTACTCAGGAATTTTACACTATTTTGGAGAAAATATACTAACATCAAATGAGAACCATTGAAAATGTGAAAATTCATGCTTGGGTACAATACAGAAAAAAGTTCGGTTTGCTGCCCTGACAGAGAAACCTTCAGGTTCAAGTATTGTCACGTTCTATTTAAAATCTGTGGGCACTTTTAAACCATTGAAAAGTTCGAAAATTTCAAAGCTTGCTCTAGAAAACTCACCATGGAGGCCAGAATTGTGGTGGTCCGTCTTTGAGAAGCGAGCACCGAAAGACGCTGTTGCTCCTCATATGTGAGCGTATGCGACCCATTCTCCTAAATGCGAACAGATTTTGGAAAACGTCCTTACGGCTGAGCCATCAGAAATACATGAATATGGTGCTATCGGAAGATAGGGGCGCACTGTAGTGGCAATACATTTGAAACCGAGTAAAAAATGACTTTTTCGTTGAAAAAACGAGACCGAGCCTCGGGCGTGGGAGAAGAGACTCCTTTGTGCGTGACCACTTTCATTCTCCGAGGAGTTCCTGCCCCTCCCAGGGTTAGTTCTAGGGGGCAGGGTGAATATCGGTCGAGGATTCCTCAACGGCACGTCGAGGATTTTCGCCTGATCAGTTACGTTCTCCGCGCGGACATTCACACTCGCCATGCGCGAGCCGTCTGTGCTCTCCGCGCGTACGTTCACTCTCGGCACTACTCTCGCACAGTACAGAGCCATGGTCGAGGAATTTCCTCGACCGTTATTCGCCTGCTTGTAGTGACCCCTTATACTGCGATAGCGCCAATGAAGTGATTTTCCATGGCCAAACATTCCAGAAG